GGTGGTTTGCAAAGGCAGCGAGGGCGGCGGGCGCTGCGAGGGCGACAAGCCGGAGGCCGTCCAGGGCTGCCACGTGGCCCTCTGCCCGGGTGAGAGGAGGAGGTGGTGGCACTCGAGGTGGGGGACACGCTGGTGGGGACCAACCCTCTTTCATGCCTCCAGCCCATCTCGGCTGCGGGGGGATGTTGGCAAAGCGTCCTGGTTGAGCATCCCTGATGCTGCTGGCAGAGAAAGGGTTAAACGCCAGCCAAAATCTCGCACTTCTTGGGTCTTGGCCCTGATATTTGCTGTAGATGGGTTTTCTGGGAGTTTGGGGATGCAATGAGCTGAGGGTACGATGGAGATGGGCATCCTGGAGTTCGTCTCCCGGGGGGTTTTTTTGGTTGGCTTAAGTGCTGGGCCAACCGAGTGCTCCCCATGGGACCTCGTTTTTAAGGAGATCTCTTAAAAAAATAAAAAAAAAATTAAAAATCCCCCACCAAAACCCCCTCCTGAAGTATTTTGAGTGCCCCCAACCTCCCGTGGCGGCTGGGCATCCTGGCGCTCTCTCCGCAGGGAAGCTCTCCGGCATCACCGCCAACACCGGTGACCACGGCACACCCAAAGGGCAGCGGGTGCCCCAGGATGGACCCAAAAACCCCGTTAGCAAGATCTCTTCCAGTAAGTGTCCCCGCTCGGGTAAGGGCGACGCTTCCCGGGATAACCCTCCCGAGGGCTCCTGCAGCTCCCAGTGGGAAGCACAGGCGGTTCAGAGGATGGATGCGCATCCAGCAGCGGTTTTGGGGGGGAGTTTTACTCTGGTTTTGGGGAGCTTTACCCTCTGATGCTGCATCCCCGCCGCCTCCGCTTGCCAAACCTGCAGCTCGGTTGCCATCTCGTGGAGGCCGGGATCTTGCAGTTCCCGCTGCCTTCGGCTGGGCACCACCTCGCGCTGCCTTCATCCTCCTGGATTTTATGCCGTTTCCTTTTTACGGTGAACTTTTTTTTTTTTTCTTTTTTTTTTTCTTCCAGCCTCCCGCGTTTAGCTGAGGGGGCAGATGGCTTTTGCCCCTTGCTCCAAGCCACGGGGGTTGCTTGGGGCGCTTCGTACCTGGGGCGGTCAGAGTTAAAGATGCTGGTTTGGAGCATCCCTTGTTTTTTCTCCTGTGCAGAGAAACCTTGAGCGCTTTGGCTTCGTTTTCCAGCACCACCCCCCCCCTCCCTTCCCCATACAAGCATTGCCAAAATTGCAAAGAGCAATAGCCGGGGGCACCCCATGTCCCTTGGGACCATCAGGAAGGTGCAGGGGTGGCATCCTAACGCCGGCCTCGTCCTTCGTGCTGTCTGACGCTGCTCTGTCCCTCTCCAGGGGAGCCGTGCCTCGGGGACAAGTCTATCTTCTGCCAGATGGAGGTCCTGGCCCGCTACTGCTCCATCCCCGGCTACAACAAG